AAGTTATAAATATTATCTATTAACTCTTTATTTTTATTTCTTATACCTTTTTACGCTATCAAGCGATTTTCATGAATAATAATAACAATATATCTATAATTTAATGCCTCATGTTTAATTAGTCAAAGTATATGACGAATTGAAAATTTATTGTAACTATAAAGAGCTTGATAAAGTTGTATTGCGTTTTTACGTACGCATTAGTATAATTCATTTACTAATAAATTATTTTAATTTGCCTCATTTGTATCCTGCATTATTTATATATTAGCGCCATCTTTAGGAATATTTGTTACCTAAGAAGATGAATGGCGTGTATGAGTTGATAAAATCGGTGATTCTATTATCGACCTTTTTATATAATTATTTTACAAATAAATAAATAAAAAAAAGCATGAAAATAAATCACATTTGTTACAATTAGAGAGAGAGATAGATAGAGAGAGAGAGAGAGAGAGAGAGAGAGAGAGAGTCCTACGCGCGCGCGCACACACATCCATATATATGTACGTACATATACCTATGTGTGTATATACACCCACCCTCCCACGCATGAATCCGTTAGTATAATATACCGACAGTGTCATTTGACATTTAATATGTGTATTTGTGGCTGCGTATGTGTTATTGTACGTGATGTGGGTACGGATGTATGCATATTTGCCTGCAAGCGTAATTTTATTTTATTATAATTTTATTAATTTGGTTATAATATTATTATTTGTCAGAAGAATAGTTTTCTTGTAAATACATAAATAATAATTAATACGTACAATAACTTATTTTCCAATTATAAATGATTATATTATTAGATAAAGGAATGTATAATATGAATAAAAACAAATGATTATTAATCATTGTTTACTGCATATTTCAAATTTATGAGGAATTACGATTTGAAAATGAAATTACATTTAAAAAATAATCATGTATTCGATTTACCATTTGTAAGGATATTTCTACTACGTTATTAAGTAAAATTAATCAATCGGTATGAGCTGTTTTTGAATTTTAAATGAAGGTTATTAAATATCTTAACAAATAGAGGAAAGGTAAAAAGAGACCTAATAAGAAAAATTGAAAAAAAAACATCATTCTTATTATTTCTTTATTCTCTTTAAAATTCTTTTCATCCTTTTACGGCTTATAATACTACTCTATACCTAAGATGTATGGGAGTGAGATAAGAATACGAGCTTTTTTATACCTTTCACTCTTGTGCCACCCTTTTCCACTTATAAGACGGATGGTAGACAAGCAGGGAAAAAGTAAGGTCGGCAAAATACTTTCTTTTCATTCACTGAAGATTCTCTGTAATCGTTTTCAACTTTTTTTTTCAAAAGCCCTTATGCGTATAAGAACAGATAGATCGAATGGACCGAATATCGGATTTAAGTTGTTTATTTGTGTGTAACATTTCAGTATTCTATCTAATCAATGAGTTATTTTGTGTATAAAAAAATATTAATATTATTATTAAATTGATGATTAAAAAGAAAATACAATATTTATGTTTAAAAAAATTTTAAGTTTAAAATTACATTACATAAGCTTTTTTACCTCTTTGTACGCAAAGGCTATATTTGTACATAATAATTCGTGTAAATAATAAAAATTTTCAAATTAAGAAATATAAATAAATTAATCCGACAATATTTAAATGTATTTCAATTAGAAAAATAGAATATTATACATCAGTATTTTATTTTATATAATATTTTACTTTATTAAATGATGACGCTCGAGATTATACGAGTACGTATGCCAACAGAATATTCGCGAACTCAACATGTCAATTCCGTTCGATTAAATGCTTAATCATTAGCGCACTTATTTATGCATATAAAATAGGTCATGTTTTGGACTTATTTGTATTCATACGTCGACGAATGAAATCAGCTGTCGTTCCGAAAGACATGTAAGTTGAAAATTGACGTGCTCTAAATACCGGAAGCACGGATTTGGTGCGAATATTAAAAATTCGATTGCATGGATCATTGATTTTACGGCGATCACGTTCACTTAATTTATCTTTGTAAAACGAGTGTTAGCAGGCAAATTGACTTGTCATCTAACTTAATTCTTTATCCAATTAAAATTGTACGAAACAAAAAAAAAATAAATATTTTTTTTTTAATGTCTCCTAAAATATAATAGACTTTAGACTGAAAATGGTTGTTCGAAGTACTAATACAAAAATCATTTAATTTATAATAACGTAATAATTACCAATCAGTTTCTAAATAATATTACCTGCCTTAATAAGCTAAAATTAGTTTTCCTTGCAATTATGCAGGGTCTTTCAATATACAAATTTCAATCCAAGCATTTTCTTTTCATTTTTAACACAAGACAATATCTATAATAAAGAGAGAACTCGAATCTGTGTGTGTGCGCGCGCGCGCGCGCGCGTGTGTGTGTGTGTGTGTGTGACGATGTCTTATTCTTTCGACTAATGAGAAGCTGAAAGGTATTATCTTTTTGACCTAGAACCATATTACATCGCCCCAGCGGCGCTCTAATTGAGATGTGCATAATTTAGTGCCAGCACACAACGAACTACTAATGTACAATGTTCAATTTATAATAGTTTTTTATGTTGAACTTTGTATTTTTGATTATGAAATTAAAAGTAAAATAATATTTAAATTAAAGAAATTATGTTTAATTATTGTGGAATGTTTGTTGTTGAGACACATTGAATAAATAATCTTCAATCATTATTTATATATATATTCTTAATAAAACATTATGGGGTGTATTATTGCAAAAAATTTTTATACATTTTAATACATGTTATTTATGATAAAAATTTCTACTGCTGTAATTAACGAGTCTTTCATTGTTGAAATGAACTGTATCTATATTCTTAAGAAATTAAATTAATTCAATAATTAAGTAAATTGTATTGGTGTTACTGTAAGTAGTCTGTGTTGTAAGTAATTTATATCATATTTATACAAATTTGGTGAAGTGTTTCGCTAATTTTGACATTCGTAATTTATATTATTTACAAATGTCTCTGGCTATTTTAACTTGAATTATTTGAGTTTAATTTAATGTATAATATTCAATATATAATCAATTAAATTCTATTATTTGTACAGATGTTGAACATATTTTAGAATTAATAAAGTAAAGTGGATTTTTTGTGCTGCTAAATTATTATAGATAAATATATAGATAAATATATATTTATGAAAAATATGATTGAAGATTATGTCTAGTTATTATTAATGAGATTTTATCAAGATATTAGAGAAATTTTAAACATACAAACCCAATAATGACTTGGCTTTTTGTTAGTGTTTTACTTTGTAATTTTTTGATTTAGTAGATTTTAGCTCTTCTAAATTGATTTCTTTGATTAATATAGATTCTAATAATCTTTTCTTATTAATAATAATGAATGCTTAAAACAAAATTCATTATTAGCTAGTGTACGATATATATATATATATCAATTACGCTTATATTAAATCTTTTTTTTTTACTATCATTATATTTATATGCAAGTGATTATATAATTACTATTAGCTATATATAATAACAATTTTTTATTATGTTTAATTTATTTTTAGTATGGCTGATTTAGTATAATATTATAGACTACAACTATAAAGACTATATAGAGTTTATAAGATCATAAAATAATTTTGATCTATTCTTATTTATAAACTGACTTTATTGTTATTATTTTTTATAATATCTGACATTATTGATGGAAGAAAAATAAAACAGCTATGATGATTTTGTCGTAATTTTGTAGTAAGTAATTTTGAAGGATTTATATTCTTTTAAATTAAATTGGAGAATCATACGAATCTATTGATATATTATGTTCTTATATAAAGTTTAAATAATATATTTGTTATAGTATATTTATCGTATGCTTAAATATCTCGCAATGCTTAACGAACGTAATTAACAAAGAATAAATTAAACTTACCAAATATTGTGCGTCGAAATAAAAATTTGTTGACATTTAGTTCATTGATAAATAAACTTGTTCGTAAGTAAAATTTCCTATATTTAGCTTACAAATACACCTCCATCAAAAATAATTATAAATTTTATATACTTATTTTCTACACGGATAGTACACTTTACCGGTCTAATCTCAGCTTAGCGTTTAGCTTTGAAAATTATTGCACATCTCTATGATCATCTAGTATACGAACATATCCTGATAAACTATTATTTTTAAGTATTAATAAAATGTTATAAATGTACAAAGTTTATGTGGCTGCCAAACGAAAAGAAAAGCTCGCTGAATAAAAGATGTCAACTACAAAGAAAAGTATCACCTTGACCCGATGAAAAATTGGAGCGCCATTGGTAGCGTCGCCTAAAGCACTTGCATCTCTTGTCCATCTGGTGAATGTCGTAAAATACAAAATTTACGATTAATACGAAAATATGACAAAATAAAGGTATATTTACGTGTATTTTCTCGCATTACTCAATATACAAATACACGGATGTGCGAGACGCATTTCCGACGATTGCTTGGCCATAGGCTTTCGCTTGTTGGAAAATCACCAATAGAATCAACCATAAGGACTTTTCCTACGTAAAATAAAAGAGTAAGCGTATAAGGACTATAAAGGGATGAGATATGGGAAGGGAGAATTGAAATTTATTATTTAACTATATATATATATATATATATATATATATATACTTTTCGTTCTATTTACTATAAACGAACGACCCAAAAATTATTATTGGGCTTCCTGTATATAATTTACTCAACGACATTCTTCCGTGAATAAAACGCAAGTTTTATCATCTCAAATTTTCTTGTAATTTCACATAGTCGAGTCCAACGAGATCGCCAATCGACACAAAGAAGTCGGCTAATAAAGAAAAATCGCAAACTTTAGAACACGTATAATGCGTATACACCCATCGACTCCAGAATCCTACGATAACATACCCGCAGCAACGAATAATCTCTCAAAGTTGCTAAATCGTCGACCCACATCTTACTGTTTCAGCGCCATCACGGAAGGATGAAGGATGCCCCGCGTCGGAGGAAACGGAGCTGGCGGTGGATGCGGAAACGCGGAGAAAACGGCGGATCAGAACAGTGTCGGTGCATCCGGATTCAGCGGTTGGCTTGGCGGAGCGGCGAGAGCCATGACCGGCGCTTCTGGTGGGAATTACGTCGTTCTCGGTGGCACCAGATATGGATTGCGCCTGTCCCAGGTGAGGCGGACTCCCGTTCCTTTTCTACTTTTTCCCTCCCATTTACGACATCGACAATTAAACAATTTACTCTTTAATTGGCCGTGCAATTCCTCGTCGACTCGTTTGCTTTCGGTCGAACGGTGTATACGGCTTTTAGCCAATATTAAAGTAGTGCGTCCGAGTTTAAGGCAATTATTTAGAAACTCGACGCATACGCTCGACGAATCTACAAGACCTGTCGAAGTTCTTCGTGAAACGAATTTTAACGAACGGCAATGCTTGAACTTATGCTTAGGATGATTCTTAGCGTTACCGTCACTTATTAAATTTGTACTCTTATTAGTTCTTATTATCTAGTTAATTTATTATCTTGTTGCGCTTCTATACTTTCTATATGGTACGCGCGAGCTGAGAATAAAGACCGGAATTTTGCTGCATTAAAGAAATTTATAAAATGAAGAATTCTGTGGCATTCATATTCAGCGTATTTGAGTTAAAATCCCATGATGATTATAGTGCCACATTGATAACTAATAATTTTTTATAACTATGAATGTATTTTTTTTTGGAATAGAAATCAAGCACCCAGATGTAAATCAATATTACAAACTTCCCTCTTATTTATAACCTTTATATATATATATATATATATATATATATATATATATATTATTATTTATAACGCATTGTTATGATGTATTTGAGAGCATTAGAAACTTGACCATGGAGCTCTTGATAACAAAACTAAAGAAAAACAAAAAAATGTCTATCGATAAAATTCATATATCTCTTATACATTTCCCATTAACCAATGAACGTTCCATTTGGCCTTGTAAGTACACAGGCGTTCGATCGCAAACAAATTTGAGCCTCCAGTCATTACTTCCACGACACATGGTTAAGCCTCGAATGCAATCCATATAGCTGGTACGGAGATCGGGAAAGTTCGCGCACCCGCGCGCCCAGACAATGTAATTTTTATACAATAGTCGCGACGCGTAGATTTTCTTGCACAGTCAGTTAATTTCACCGACTCTGCGTTATACAGCCGAGATAAGTGATTACGCTTTATCTTCGTAGTGCATCCCGACAGTGGGACTACATGCCTTTGGCTCTCCTGTCAACTACCCCGTCAAATTGTAATTTCAATTGTCTAATTGTGTTATCTGGACGTATGATTTTTGTTAAATTAATTATATTATTATTATTATTATTATTATTATTATTATTATTATTATTATTATTATTATTATTATTATATTAATAAGGGCTGCGTTAAAATCGTATATTATTTATACATTACATTAACATTGAAATTGAATTCACGCTCAAATTGCGAGCAAAAATTCCGTTATAAATTAACTGGTCAGTAATTTCCCTTTGAATATATACATATATTTATATATGTATTGGTATTAACACTAAACACAAGTCTTTAAATTTAAGTATTTGAATTTCGAAGAAAAATAATCCCTTTTATTTTGTTTCGAAATTTACAATTTATTTTCTTTATTCCATTATAGCATAGTTTGCTCTTATGCTCTCTTTATTTTACTGCTTTCGCCTACTTTTCTTTTTCTTATGTATCTTTTTATCTGCTGCTGTATTTTTAAGTCATTTAAATGTTTAATCATTCCTATTCATATTAATAAATTTACTCGTACTTACAAAGCCCTGAAATCCGTAACCATTTATTTTGAGTTGTGATTTTCGACAATACTTTGTCGCTTTTTTCAGTTTTGCATGCAGCTCTTGCATTGAGTATTAAAATTTTATTAAGAATTTATTGGCAAATTAATAAAAATTTGAATAAAAAGTCATCGACTTGCTTAAAACACACACATAAGTACGGCGTTCAGACTATTTTGTTTCGCTACTCACGTTTCCCTTCCCCGTATAACCCTCCCAACAACACGGTCCCTTTCATTCTCGGATCAACTCTCTTCCACACTTCTTTTCTCATTCGGTTGTATTCATCCACAGTTATCTTTGTACTCTCTCCCTCTGCCTCTCTCGCTTTCTCTTCCACTCCCTTCAGCTTGTTTCATTTTCTGTTGTACATGCTATGTTACGTAGGGAGTGATGTAAGTGGATACATTATTATTATTCAATGCTTTTATCTCTTATTTTTGCTGAAAAATACATAGTATTTTGTTTCTTCCTTTCATGTATTCTATAAATGTATACTCACGCCTATGCATGAACACAGAAGCGTGAGTTTTTACTTTAGTAAGATAATGATGATCTTCATTAACCTATTAATTATAATTTTACGAAAGTATTAGCGTTGAAATTATTTTCCTCCGCTGTGCTTTAATTTGGCGAAAAAAACTGCGTTGTAAAATAATGCAGATTAATAACTCTTTACAAACCTAACTAATTTTTATTTTCAAACTAAGACGGTCTATTATTATGCTGTCCTACGATTTTAACTTTTCCAATCTAATTATATTTATATATTCATAAATAGTTTGTCAATGCTTAAGTTATTTCCCATAAGTATTATGAGTAAAGTATATTATGCTCTATTCGATTCAACTTGATTATCAAATATTAACGATTTTTCAGAATAAATTTGGAATTTAGTTGGATTTCTAGACAGGATTATACGAATTTCTATAAATGAATAGTTAAATAGTTAATAATAAGATGCTCAATTAATAATTTCACATTGAAGTGCATTATCGGTAAGATAAGATTTTCATTCTACGCATGTATTGCAATTTCCAAGTTAATGTAATAAAATTTTTCATATTAAAACTCCAATATCATAATGCGATTGCAAATTGTAATATAATTAAAAATTGCCTTTTAAAGCTGTCTATACTAATTTCATTATTTTATTCGAGAGATAATTATATTTTTAATTGTTTCAAAATTAAATCGATAATATAAAAGGTAGATAGTTGTATGCAATAAATATAAAATAAAAATCTAATATACTTTACATGCTACTAATGTTACGTTATCAAAGAAAGGTACAACAAATTCATAAACGTAGATTAATTTCTTATTATTTCTACGTAAAATTTCTAACGTAATGTCGATGAGCTTTCACATAATTGTTCACGATCAATGGCTTGTCGACTGGCACTGCGTATTCGCACAGATCGTATGATCCCAGATGATAAAATAGAAATTTCTCTATGAAATTCCTATGCCAATGGTTGAAAACCTCTTTTGTTACGGCTAATTGTTGTTGCGAGAGGCGTTACGTGTACGTTCAATTTATACGCTATAATGCACAGTCGAAAGAGTACATGCACTTATGAATATTTCAGCGTACGTTACGTTGAAGAACAACGGTTGAAAGCTCGTCTTCCGGACTAGTGACGAATGCCAGAGTTGGGGCAGGTCAGCGCTACTCACGTAACTTTTCTTATCCAATTCTTTTTTATTGGTATGAGCTGTTTCATTGAAGATAATATTGAAGATAAATAGGAAGGAGTGAGACGCGATTCTACCCTGAATATTCTCGATTCGTTTGAATTATAAAAAGTTAAAAATCTATTTACCGTTAATTATTAACCTATAAAGTAATAAGGTAAAGTAATAAGAAGGACGTTTGATACCATATGTCTGAAGTCAGGATAATGCTGCTATAAAATAAATTTTACGCAAAGTTGAAATTAAGCTTTTAATCAGACGGCTCAGCCCTTAAAAGTCCAGTGCCTTAAACAATAACAATAACTGTAATAATTATAAATATGAAAATATGGAATATGAAAGGGATGAAAAATCTGATATGAATAAATAATCAATTTGTATTCTTTAAAAACATCTTTTGATTGCATGATTAAGAATTGATAATAGATAATGGGTAGTTATTAATAAAAAGAAAATATATACAAAAGTATTAATGTAAAAGGCAGGCGCCAAGGTATTGAATAGAAACTGGGAAAATATGTTCAAATCATTACATTTGCAAATTTGATAGTTTACAAAAAGTAAAAAATACATTGCAATTATATTGCTTTCTTATATTATCTTGAATAGATTATCTTGAATAGATCTCTACTCGGATAGAACTATTTCAATACAAAAATATCTTTATAATATGCCCAATTTTTAATCATTATTATATATCAATCTATTTAACATCTATTTAATGTACTATATTGAAAATAATAAATAATAAAGAAATATTAGCATTTATAATTGTTGTAGGAATCAATAAAAAATTTAATCAGTGTTTATCCTCATTTAAATATCCTATATCGAAGGTACGCTTGTTCTCGTGATAATATATATCCATACATGCATACGCAGTTATATTTCACGAATACGCGCGCACGCGCATTTAACATGTTTACTTTGAGTTTCGCATATTTTTAAAGAAAAATTTTTCGTCGTATTTAATTCATAATTAATTACTGTTTCAAAATCATTTTAGATATCACGAATAACGTTAATCTGAATTTTACAAAATAAATACCATAATTTTTTTTACGATGCACAATGCAAGTACTCATTTATAATACGTTGTAATTCGGAAAAATTCGAGATTAATTATTAAAGTTTATTAATAAACTATTTATGTGCTTTATAGAAACAAAAGTAAAATCCTCGATACTCGATTATTACATATCCTATTTATAGACACGATTTAATACAAATACAAATACAATAGACAATAAAATAGTAAGAAAACAGAAAATATTATTACAAAAAAGAGAATAGTTTTTATTTTAAATTATCGGCCATATTGAATGCAATACTTATAAACAATCGTAATAGCAGATATAATTTTCAAACTCTTATGCTTATTCAATAACGATATGTTTCTGTATTCGTGCATGTGAGCTCGTTCAATCAACAATCATCCAAATTAATTTAAAGGGCTTTTACCGTGTGTCAATTTATTGGTGACGTAATTCAACTTATCATAACCGTATACGGATACGCTCAATTACTATGCAAGTACGATGCAAGTACGATGCGTAATATCGTCGTTATCGTGAATTAAAATTCAAGTCAAGACGCATATTTTTACACGAAGAGATGAAATGTAGTTGGTCGAGTTAGTTCTTTCAGTACCAGAAACACGAGACGCGAAACGTAATGTCGAAGTTATACGCTATATCGATGAAATTAAACACGGCTTCTTATAATCGTAGGTCCGCAGTAAGTTATCTCTCGTAGATTACAAAGAGCGAGCAAACATAATGAAAGCAAATATCGTTTAAGAAAGATTAGCGCGAGAGGTGCGAAAAGAACAGCTTGACTCGCTCGATTCTTATCAGCCATCCGATTTGACGAAACCTCTCATGAAGCGATAGTCATTTAGTAATTTATCGAAATCCAAAGGCTCGATACGAATTCTCACGATAAAGATCGACAAAAGGCACGGTTCCGCCAAATCGACGTCAATCAATTTTCCCCGTTACTGCTTCCAGGACAGCCTGCCGCCGGCGAGTTCGCGCGAGGAACTTCAGGAGCGTCGACGTAAGCGGCACTCGCACGAGAGCGAATCTCGGGAGCGTTTGACGGAGGCGAGACCGAGCCTCGAGCTCGTCGGTAGCGACTGCTGCTGCATCGGGCCTCGGAGCCGCCTCCTGCCCCTCGGCTCTCGCATCCCGCTCTCCTGGGCAGGCGCCTCCGCGCCCCGCCAGCAGCAACTTCATCACCATCAACATCACCACCAGCAACAGCAGCATCAGCAGCAACAACAACAACAGCAGCAGCAGCAGCAGCAGCAACAGCGGCAACAACAACAGCAACAGCATCACCGTCAGCACCAGGCGGCGCAAGCGACGCCGTCGGCTAATAATAGCCAACGCTATTGGCCACAGAGCGGCGCGGAGTTGCCGGCAGTCAGTAGCAGCCAGGGCGCGCTCGGTCACGCTAGCGGCAACCCGAGCACGTCGCCCTTGATCGCCTCGGCCTCCTCCTCGGTCTCCTCATCCGCCTCGTCCGCCTCCTACTCCTCATCCTCGTCCTCCTCGTCGCCGGCTACTCAACAGCATCATCAGCATCATTATCAGCCTCAGCAGCAACAGCAACAGCAACAGTATCGGCAACTGCAACAGCAACAGCAACCGCAACAGCAACAACTGCCGTCGCCGGTTAGTAGCGCATCTGTGCCACGGCAGCTCGCCCAGTGGACCAAACACCAGAGCCTACGGCTACAGGTACTGCCAGTTGGACCTACCGCGCACCTCGCCTCCCCATCTCCTTGCCCTCTGCACCCTGACCACTGCCACCAGATCCGCTCCGTCGCCGACGTCGCGTAGCCGCGTCGCGAGATAAGCGCGCTGAGGAGTCGGAGCTGACTGCGCGCATCCCGGGATCCGACCCCAACGGGGATTAATACCCCGCAACAGATACTCTCTGCCCATGGAGTTTGTTGCTAATTTGTTTGTAAGGCTCTCTTGTCAAGTTATTGTGTTTTTGTTACATGGATGTTTGTTCCGCTTTACAATTTGTTTGCACATCTCCCCCCCCCCCACACACACACACACCCACCGTCCTCCTCCACCTCTCGTCACGTAATTTTCAAACCTTTATGATTTTTGATTGAGAGGTCGCCGAGGTCGGAGTTGGCTGGTTTTTGGGATTTGACGCGAGTGCAATCGATTATCAAGAACCGAACACGAACACTGAGTACACGAGTGATACGACTATTGGTGATTGTTGGCGCGTTCGCTAAATCTTTACCGACCAAGATTTGTGTGTTCAATGTGCTTCGAGGCATCGGTGATTACCATCGTATACAATGATAAAAAATGCGTGGATTCCGAAGTCTTTAACATGAAATGTATACGGACAAGTTACGAGCCTGGAGTTTTTTATGTCACGGAGATGATGCGTGCAGTGACGCTGGTGCAAAACGCGGCAATGAAACTTTACCGAATTTGCCGGATACGGAGGAAACAGCGAGGCGCATTTATTTTTATTTCCCCCCTCGTTATATTTATCGCGCTAATGGTTCCTAAAGAGTTTTACTAATTTTGCGGCGACTTGTTTAAAGCCCGCCGTTCATCGAGCTTATATAAAAAATTCTCACGCTACTTTTCCGCGGAATGTATATAGGATACTCATTTATTTCTTTCCAATTAGTTGATTATTCTTTCATACGACGAAAAAATGCATTTGCATTTACAAAAATTCATTAAATTTTTCGGCCCAGTGGAATGGCAATTTACGTTCATTAGCAGCCGCAACGATGACCCGAAGATTATTTAACATCTCGCATCATTCATTTAACGTAAAGTAAAATGCTCGTTTGCAATATTGCACGTGACTCAGAAAAAAAAAAAAAAAAAGAAAAAGAAAAAAGAAAAAAATGGAATAGAAAGTCTCCGGTGCTTCAATAGTCTCCGAGGCTATCGAGCGATTACAATTTCGCTGCACGAACAAAAATTAACAGTACTGAACGCCTTGATAAAATGTCTTTCGCTCAATAGCATGGCCGACCGATTATTTCTCAAATGCAATCGCTGGAAAAATATACCCGGAACCGCAAAACCCTTGACGGCCCTCAAACCCAAATGTAATGGCCAAGACCTGCGGTGAAATAGGCGCTGTTTCGACGGTTAAAGGCGGATAAATCCGCGATCGAGCCGCGATTAGCGCTAAGCCACACTAAAGTTAGCCGGCACCCGGTAATGTTAGTCGATCCCGGTCGATCCCTTTTTGATCCGGAGGCTTCCGGTGCGCTTACCGCGACTCGACTAATCGGGCCACCGCCCGTGCTTTTGCTTTTCCGGTCCAAGGAGCCAGCGGTGACAGCGGTGGACCGGCTGCAGAGATTCCGATGGAGCGGCGGCAGCGGGGGCGCCGGCGCCGCTGGCAAGAAGTCGTCCTCGGCCCCGCGGACCAGCGACAAGACCGAGCGGCTGCGCGAGCTCACGGAGAAGCTTAAGGGCCCAGCGCCGGTTCCCCCGCCCAGGAGGCCCTCGCGCCTTCACGCGTCGTCATCGCCGCCCCCGCCCCCACCGCCACCGCCCCCGCCGCCGCCACCTCCGCCATTGCCACCGTCGCCATTGCCACTGTCTCTACCACTCGGACGGCAGCAGGACGGCTGCCAGAAGAGCAGTACCACCAATTCGCAGGTAAGTACCTCGATCGAGCCCTAATGCTCGAGATGCTGGTTGCATTGTCGAATTGTCGAGATCAGTCGGGCGACGCTTATTTGGGGGGGGGGGGGAGTGACTGTGACTTTTGATGGCGAGGCTGCATTTGTAGGCTGAGTAAACTTGGAAAGAATTCCTACCGCGGTCGAGGCATTTTTCAACGTTCGACCGTGTAAAAGTTAATTTGTCGAGTCGAATTTGGAATCAAGTCAATTATTTAATTGCAGGAAAATTAGTTATTGCCAATAATTTATTTTAATTCCCGTTGCTATTTTGTTTTGGATAATGTTACTTGCTTGAGATGAGAGACTACGCGAAGTAGGAAGGAGCGCCTCTACATATTGAACATTTCTTTTTATAATTTTGATTATTATTTTTAATTTTACGAATCGCAGCGCTAACCCTTGCGTAATTTGCCAATAATTTTAAATCGCAATATTGATGAAATTGCGAGTTTTCGCGAGTAAGGATTGCGTCGGGTAATACGCGACGACAGATGTTTAAGCATTGATATGATTATCAATAAAATGAACGTGAAGAAAATTCATAAATATTATCGATACTTGTCAGTCTTATCAAAAACGTGAATTGCCAAATGCCCTTTTAATTAATTTAATAATTAGAAAATTATTATAATTATTCTATCAGGCGTGTCTTTAAGGTTAAGTTTGCTAACCATGTACGTCTGTTTGGATTTATTTATGATTAAAAAAATTATAATTCATTTGAAAATAAAAAAAGTTGAAATTTTGGAGTTCCAAGATAAGAAGATTAAAATTTTATTTTCTATACAAAATTTATAGTTGTAATGAGTCGAGTCGCCTTCCTCTAATTTCCTCGCAGATTTAAAGAGATTTGTTGGCGTAAAATGCCAAATGAATATTCCAATAGAGATGTAATATACTTGTATTAATGTTTAAATTTTATCAGATAATGGTATGAAAATTTTAGTACTTCGAACCTAGAATTGCTTATTTATGTTGCAACCAGTGATTTATTAGTTAGTACACACGATTGCCATATGTTTATATTAAAATATTCTTATTGCAGTAACTTTAATGAATTTTACTTTACTGAGACAAGCTGATGTTTGAATTTTAATTACAAAATTAGTTTATAATTATAAAATAATATAAGGCCAAAGTTTCAACCATCGTTTAATCGTAAATTCATTTATGTTAATCTAAATATTTGTATCAGATGTGAAATAATTTACGTAAGAATTAACTTTCCTTGGCCATTGTTATAATATATATGAGCGCGCGCGTGCGCGCTGTGTCTGTCTGTGTGTGTGTGTGCGCGCGTGTTTGTGCGTGCGTGCATGTGCGCGTGTGCACGCGCGAGCGCGCCGATCTGTTTGTGTACGCAAGAATGTAGAATAATTTCATTAATTTCGTGAGAGAAAAAAGAATCTCAAATCTATCGATGATGTTCGGAAAATCTTTACGGAAAATAGTTGAATCATAATTCTATAATATCTACATCCATTAATAAATATCAGAATATTTGTTTGATTTACGATTCCTATATTATCTTGAAAAGCTATCAATAGTCATATAATAATGTAATTTATTATTAGATTAATATGCTAATATAAATATAAATTTTCCGTCTACTTTCATTTAATTTATTAAATTTTCTAATTTTATTTTAATTCTGGTTGCATTTTTTCTCGCCTTACACCTTATTTTCTTTATCTCGCAATCTTTTTCTCGTTTTCTTTGGCATTTCATTCCGCTTTCTGTGGATTTATTAAAAGCTTTCGTGCGTCTTTCAATTTATTTTGACCAAGGATAAAGATTCATGCATTTATTGGGACAACGACAATTCATACTAAAGCATTGTTCTTATTTTCGTTCATGTTTTGCAAGTGTAAGAGAATTTTTTTAACGTATGATTTTATTAATTGGAAAATCTATCTTGGAAAATACTATAGATTCTCTGGTATATTACATATTTTTGGTACCTAAGGCGATGTTTGTTATTTATAGTAATATAAATTTTTTTATGAACACAAATAAAATGATGCAGAAGATACTTCTCCATAAATTTAATAGCTTACTTTATTAGTCATAAACATCATTTAAAATGTAAAAAAGCTTTAATAATGGTTATAACGGAGACTGTTGCTCTTTGATTTCGTTGCTCCTTTCTTCACTATGCGCTATTCGAGCAAGTATACTTTATTTATTTCCGAAAGCATTTAATAATGAAACGAAGTATTGCACATACAACTCACATTATATTATTACATTAATTTTTTTTTTTTTTTTTTTTTTTTGTCAAATAACGACAAAGGGCGTCACTTTTCATTCTCTCTTATCCCGCAATGTCATATAGAGGTGGATGCATTGCACTTGTCATCGAAATTGACTATGTCACTAGCTCCATAAATCACTTTTCCGTGTACTTTGCCGAATAGGAGGTACCTTGCCATCTGCCATTCAATCAATCCGAAAATTCTCTCAAAAACACGCGTGTGCCGGTTTAATTCTACGGTTTATTGTGCTCCGGAGCCGGCACGTGCACGTGTATCTGTTTAATGTCGGCCACATCGGAATTAGAAAATGTCGGCATGTAGAGACTGGTTGGGCTCGATGGATTACAATCATTTAACATTTCAATTAAGATTTGCGCTTTTGCTTTCGTGGTTACGGACGAGTAAGAGCGCGGGAGGAATTGCAACGATTTTGGCAAATTACCCCTGCTATTTAAAATCAGCCGATTCTTCCCGTTTGACGCTATTTAGCTAGTTTACGACTCTCGTTTATTTACATAACGTATTCTTATAAATGCACAATATCAACGAGCTTGGACATCATAGAGTCTTTGGCGTTAATTTATTAGCGAAATTAATGACGATAATGCTTTTTCTTTTCTTCGTTAAAATACTGACATTTAAATAATATGTAAATTTCTTCGAGACTTTCAATGGCAATGCGTATATTTATTATCTTTAAGTAAAATTGCTTATGGTTTTAACATTAAACTGACAAATAAAATAAATTAGCTTAATTCGCAAAAATCAGCTTAAGTATACACTTTTGTTACTAAAATGTTTCGAGTTGACAATGTCGGCCTGTCAATCAATAAATATTCGGGAATATAATCAACCATCGAACGAGCGAATTTTTCATATTAATGCAATGTATTTGCAGTGTAATATTTATATGCATTTTGAATTTTTTTAATGTAATTAATCCTTAACGTAAAATTGCTTATAGTAAAAGTCCTAAAATTCGTAATTACAGCCTATTAAATGTATTTTCGAATGTATACGCTTTTATGAATTCTTCAATTATATGTGAAAATATGTTTGCCTTGAAATGACTAAATTTACAAGCTTCTCAGAGATTAAAACTTGAAGAACGAAATCATCGTTATTTTGCTGTCCCTTGTTGTTTTTTCTTCTCTATTTCTTTACATTATTTTTATTTTTATTTTATTTTATTTTATTTTTTTTTTTTTCCAAAGAAAGCTAAAGACTCTACATATCCAACGGAATCAGTATTTTATAGAATTCTGAAAAATTATGAATGTTCTAAGGCATGAGCTTCTGTTATGCACGAAAAATAAAAATTGCCAATACACGACAATCCAGCTTGCTCGAATGCGCTCGAGGTCTCTTAATACAATGACCTTCGCATCGAATCGTTTTCCATTATCGATAATGTTTTCCGAAAAATGGACGCGCGCTCACCGACGGTGACAGATTCACATACAGAGACTCAGACAGACACGGAGACGGACAGGGTCGACGCCGAGATTAGTGATCGTCCAAAGATAACAAGGTCAGGGAACGGCAGCCACGGTTGCGTTCTCTACCCCCCCAGGAACGGCGAGTCTAGCACTCCATCTAACAGTTGCCCTCCTAATCGGCAGCAGCACCGCAGCGAGAGCAGTCGTACCGAGTCGTCGAGGATCAATTGCCAGGGCCATGCTGTTTCCTCGGAGGCTGGCCATCGGCTAGCCCGGAGCGAGAGTCAGGCCGAAGAGTCGGACTCTCGGGTGAACGGGATCGCTTCTTGCTGTGGTGCCGGGGCGCGGCACTGCCGGCAGCACAGTGACTCCCTGGTGGAGGACGGCCTTGGGAGGCACGGCGAGCTCGTGGGTCCTCAGTGCGAGGCCAGGGACGCCCTTGCCGGACTTATGGAGTCCAGGGGCCCGTCCTTGTTCTCCTGCCACAGGCAGGGCCAGCCTTATCGGAGCGCCTCTTTTGGCCAGGCCGACTTCGCTATAGGTGAGCCGAACTTTATCACCACCAGGACTCCCACGCCATCTTACGATTAAGTTAAAAAAGTTTACTACGTTTTTTATTAGGATGGGCGTTGATTAGGTTTTCCCTCAATTCAATGCGTCTGTCAGTTAAATAGGGAAATAAGCGAATGATCGTATATAATTAACAATCTCATCTGATATATAATCGACAGAATGAAGAAAGATTTAGAAAGTATGCGATCTGCTTATTATTAGATTAATATTTGATAGTTTGACATATGCTTGATATTTGACAGAAAAGTTAATTAATATTCACGACTTTTACAAAAATTTTTTGACGCCTGCTTGTTTTTCATCGAATGAAATTAATTTGACAGATATCATTAAATATGAGTCAATGCTTTAATAAAGAATTTCCAAAAAGAACATTGAGTATAAGCATGAAAAGTTTTGCATTTATTTAATTAACTGGCAATTTTAACAGAAAGACATTATTTTCATAACATAGTTCGTTTCCGACATTGTTTCATGCTTTTCGAGAGATAACACAGATACTTCGTGTAGGCCAATATATTTATTTTAAAAGTACATTTTAAAATTTCGAGTAATTAATAGTAAAGGCAATAACAATATTATAAGTTAGTTATTAAATTATATTATAGTCATAGTTATTATTAAAAGTAATATTATTTGATTATTTAATCAAGATGTGAAGTATACTGGTAGAAGAAATATACAATTAATATATACGTAATTACTGATAAATAATGTAATTAAGATGAAATATAATGAAAATATTCAGCTTTTAATATTATTTTTAAAGTTTTACGGAAATTATGTTTATATAACTCTTGTATGCCATTTCTGAAAACGCTTTGATACAAAGATTTTTTAATTAAATATTGTTAATGTTATTAAATTCGTTATTTACTTGAACCTTCATATTGATATTGATATGTGAAACTGATTGGTTATGAGTTTTAAGAACAGTTTAAAATATGCCAGAAATTTTATTAAAATATATATATATTTTTTTTTTTACGAAAAGTCATATATTTAAGAGACGATGCTAACTTTTATGGTTTTTCCGTATCATTTTTCATGAATTTATTTATGTTGTTTACTTGAAATAAGAGATAAATAAAAAATTAAAGACAAGACAAATATTAAATTATATAAAACGTGACCGTGATACATATCGACAAGTCTATGAAAAACAATTACGACAAAATAGAAGAAAATAAAGGAAAGAATAGGACACTATGAGATCATAGATGAAATAGAGGAAGAAAGTTCATTATTTTTAACTTCAAATTTGTTAGGAAAACAAAACGAAATTTACATTAATTTTATTCATATACATGATATAAATATTAGAAAAATATAAATAGCTTGAAAAACAGCGTAGTGAGAGCTTTGAGATTAGTCGTATATTACAATTTAGTAAGGATATTTATTGTTATAAATAGAAGAGAAATATCGAATTAAAATCGTTGTCAATAAATCTATAATATTCAGTTTTGAAGACGAATTAATAATTTAACTAAAGCAGGAGTTTCAATAAATTTTGGAATTATATATTTTTAATTTTAGAGATTTATATATATATATATATATATATATATATGTCGTATTGTATAGCAGAAAAATTAAATTAATTTAATTTTCATAAATCCTGAAGGGCTTGTTTTTATTTTTTAATTACTGATATTAACTTATTAAATATAAAATAAAGAAATACATTGATTTTTTTAACCCTTTAATAAGTAAATGACATGCGATTGAATTGAATTCCGAATTAGTACGCATATGATATATTTATTCCAAAATATAATGATACGAATTTTTACGAAAATTTTATTTACTATAAAAAGACAAAAAGTTCACATAGTTTTCTCTTATTATTAATTTATCAACATTTATATTTATGTGGTTATTAGATGAATCATAAAATTTGTCATAAATTATTAATCAAAAGTTTTAATTGAATATGGTTACATTAAGTATTAATATACAACACGTGCTTACGAAGATTAAGAAATAATAAATAATTTTTTAACAAGCTATTTTTTCCATAAGCTACATTTCCATTATAAAAATTTATGATTCAAATATGCGCAGTTAATGAAATTATTTACTTAGATTCAGACAATTTTTTTTTTTTTTTTTTTTTTTTTTTGTAGAATTAACGTTCACTTAATTATCGCAGTAATTCGTATATTTTATAATGACATACAATCTTTATTGATTGGGTAACAAAACGCCAATTATAAGGGGAAGGTTAATAATAAAATAATTAAGTATCCCTACCTTTAAAAAAAAATTAACACAAAACGACTACACGACATGAAATAACTAAGTTTGAATACGATTGTCAGATATTTAAATCTATTAGTTGATGAGGGAGTTTAACATGGTAAAACGTTGCTTTTACGTATGCGTAGTGAGACGCGCATTTCGCGCATTTTCTAGAAACGCGCAGCTTGCCAAAGTCATGCCGATGGTAAATACGCGTAAAGTAAGTAAAGCGTGCGCATAAGTACCGAAATAAGCTGAAATGAGCATCGAGTCGGTGAGCAATGCTTAATCGAGCCAAGCATTCGGTAGCTTCAAAAGAGGCGAAAGATTTAAAATTCGCTTATCGTAGCAGTTATTTTCTTTCATTCGCTAAAAATAAAAGCTGCATAAAGATACTTTTTATACGATAATTCTTTGCGATCGCAGGGAATAGCATAATTTCTACACGTTTGTCGAGTTCAAGATATCGATAAAATCCTATCAATAGGAGATGGCATTTTGAGCAAATATGCATTATTCCGCAGTGATTACTCGTATTTTTACTCTATTGCTTAAGTCTTCTATTTCATGTAAGAGCGGAGGGAAAAGTTTTGGCATTAAGTATTTTTTCAGTATGATTATTAAAATTACTTATAAATAGCAATTGAGGCAGTTTTATAATTAACGATCGCAAATGACGAGAGTTAGTAGTTAACGTGCACATTTTTTTAATTGCATATTTTTCACAATAAAGTTATCATAAATTTCATTACATTTTCACTTCCTCTGAAAAATTCATGTTTCGCTTACATCTCGTGATGATATGAGTAAATTTCAAAAGTATATTTCTACACTTGTTTCGAGTCTTTCATAATAGCACCGTATTTTACTTACTTTTATGATCGTTAACTTACATTGTTATATATTGAAATTTGTTGTTTATTTCTACACCTCATACGAGTCTTTGATAATAGCATCCTTTTTTTATTTACAGTTTATGCTTCGCTAATAAATGTTGTTATACTTTGAAATTTGACGTCTATTTCTACATCTAATACGAGTCTTTGATAGTGGCAAAATTTTTTATTTACCTTTTGTACTTCAAAAAAAAATTTTGTTCTATATTGAAATTTTATGTTTCTGAGCTCATTCGGAGAGTGCAAGTTAGTTACATAAAAGTTATTTGTTAGTGAATAAATTTGCAAAGTATGTCATTTGTGTTATTGATATTAAATCGAAGCTGATATTGAAGGGGCTCAAAATGAGTTTAGTTATAAAATGAGTAAAAAGTGTATGCTTGGCATGAAAAATAATTATTTTTAAGAGATATATCGAAATAAAAAATACCAAATTAGATAAATTTTGTTATGGGCTTATAATAATTCGATAGTACATTTTTCAAGATTTTCTGAGCAACGGAGTGACATATAATTTTAATAATTATTTTCACTTAAAATTCATTAAAGAGTATAATTTTCAATATGACTTTGATGCACTGTTCTTATCTTTCTTTTGTTACAAATTTTTACATTTAATTTTGTTGATTTGTGAAATCATTAAAATATTTTAATAATTTAATAAAGTAATTTCTACAATTATCTCGGTTTTTTGAAATTGAATCGACCGAGCCGAACTGAATTTATAAAATTAAATCTGCATTTTTATTTCATAAAATCTTATTATAAACAGTAGTATCAAATTAATCTTTCTCAAATTTCGCGTATAAAATAACAAATATATATGCGCATTTAAAGATTATGATCTCATAGTATCCATAAAATGATATTTGTTAAAGATAAATTATAATTAGATGATGTAAATATAATATAAATTATAATTTATATACGGCAAATAATTAACAAATGTAAGGAAAATGAAAATTATAATTTAATTAAAAATACTTTAAAAAATTATATTCAAGGTTAAGATGTTTATTTATTTACAATCTTTTTCAAGATTGTTCTATAATTTGTTAAAGATATTTATATTCGTGCACAAAGGCACATGCAAATATTTATCTATATCTATATCTGTGCGTGTGTGTGGGCGCGCGCGCACGTGTGCGTGTAAATGTAAATCAACCAATTAAAAAATTAATGTATTATTGTATAAGATACAAATTAGCGTCAAACATTTATTTTTAAGGTAAATTTGTACATTGTCATTTAACAGATAGTATTGATAAATTGGTAACTTAATAAGCTACTAAGAGCACTTCCATATTGACCTTTCGAATTAAAATGTCGTTACTAAGCTCTGTTATCGACGGAATATGCGCTCATCGTCTTCAAACTAGTAGTTTATAACGACATAATTCCAGTAAAATTGTTAATTGAAGGCTCATTTGGATTCAAAAAATAAAATCAATTTCGATTCCGCATCGCGAAAACGCGAAGCTACTATGAATTATTGACACGACACTTTTCGTCAAGGGAAACGAAGTGGGGATTTCGAGGTGCCAGTTCGTGCATCTGTATTAATTATTATTGGAGCGCTCCTAGTTTGAAATCTGGTGCCAATTTCACGGGACCGTCGTTTCTCTTATTCTTTCCTAGATATACTTTCATTTGCGATATGTTCTCTTCGTTTATCTATATTTTCACAATATTTGCTTGTGCGACTAGTTTTACTTTTTCTGTCAGCCCACAAATTTTGGGGATATTTACAAGAGGAATGACTTTTAAAATTTCTGCTTGTTTTTCGAGAAATTTTTTATTTATGATCTTAGTGCTGCTTTAAATGATTCGAATAGCCGTTGATAGATTATGGCATTCTGTGATATTTATTTATATAAAATGAAATAAAACGTAATTAAAGTATCGAAGCTGAAATTTTACTCGATTATTCATACAGTATTCTTAAAAGTACTAAATCTATTACGTCGTTATAATCGAGGTATTTAGTTATTTTAAAATTATGTGTAACATTTTTTTTTTTTAATATAGTCGTACACAAAAAAAAATATTGACCTTTGCAAATTCTGCATTTTGCATCTAAAAAGTAGAAAGCAAATGACCTTTTATTTCAAAATAGATGAGAGAATACAATGATGATATTTGTTACATATATACATGAAAAAGAACAAGTTAAACAGAATAAATAATTAAGAATAAATTATATTAAATAAAAAGACGTTTGCTGATGCAATATATGTGATTCAAATTCAGTATGCGAATTTTTCAATGATTATTAAATTCTCACTATTATTAAAACTCGTTTGCATGCAAATTATTGGTTGATTAAAGGATGCCAACGTAACTCTTAATTTGAGTATTTTTAGAAAATATTTTTTAATCATTTTTCAGTCAAGTATAAATCTATTGTCCAACATATAATTATTCAGATGAAAATATGTATTGTACAATTCGCAAATAAATATAAGTAAAAGAAAAATTTTTCCCAAGCCAGTCCAATTAAAATTCATTGTATACTCCTTAAAATATGTTTACTCTTCCGTTCTACGAGTTTTTACAAAGTTCACTTAACGCTTGATTATCTTAGCACATGACAAATAGAATGAGGAAAGAAATCGATTCCAAAAGCTTTGAAGCACCCGCGTATAAAACTTGCATCACTTAAAACTTTATACATTGCCCGGACAATTCGTTCGAGCTAAAAGAACAATACTGCCAACTCTTCGTCGTTTTAACTCATAAGGTTGTCCTTAGCGTTAGAGGTCTCGCGAAAATAAATATTTTTCGAAGCATTTTATTCCTTTTATTACATGTCATACATCGTTGAAGAATATTCCAACGGCGTAATTAACACCCCACTGTCACATTTGAAAATAACCTTTCCGAAATTCTCGCTCCTCGAAATACCGCTCGAACATTCTAACTGGCATTCGCAGGCAGCAGCAGACAAGTGTCCTCGCAATCGATTGCGAACTCGAGACGCGCAGCCTATGCTGCGACAGCCGAGGATAGGGAAGTGCGGGCGAACACATTACCACGGGTGCGTCGCTTCGAGGACGGCAATCCAGGTGCCTCGACTCAGAGCCTCGCGGACAGCGCTGTCGGCTCGTCAGCCGAGGCTCTTAACAATGCTCGAATTTCCGGCTCGTCCTCGTGCGCCACTGCCAGCGAGATCGTCAGGCCACGCAGCGACGGCTCCGACAGCCTGGCGACGTCGAGCGCCGTCGCTAGTCCCGAGCCCGTGGAGCAGCGTCACCACGTGCCTACGACTACCGATGAGAGCGTCGAGGGAACCCAAACGATGCTGCCGGAGGTCGGTGAGAGGAATTCCGAAGAGGGGACTAAAGATAATTCACAAAAAGGTTTGTAGTTTAGAAGGCCGTGGAAGTGTAGGAAAAACAAAGAGAGAGAGAGAGAGAGAGAATTATTATTTTGTCGTATTGGTAGAGTGATTTGTTAGTGTGTGGATCAAGATAAATACCTTCTTCCCTCGGAGAAATTAGGTCAAATGTATTGTTAGTAATACTATTCAGAAAGTGAAAATAATTTCAGATATTTAAAATTGTGACCAGAAAGTGGAACGTTTGATTAATATTGATCAATATGATATTGGTATTTTAATAGATCAATTATAGGTTTTCTTATGTACTATTACTTTCACGATAAATATACATCGTATTATTTAATTATTCACTTATATCAGAGCAATTTGTTTTATAAATTCTATTATTTTCGTAGTCTTCTTTTGTTGAGGAAAACATTTTATCATTTAATATAAACTTCATTTAAGCACGAAGACTTTCGATAGATTATTTTATTTGCTTTTATCATTGATATTAACTATGGATCAATACGTCAGACATATTAAAGAAAAATATCAATAACCACGACACTTGATATCTCAATTAATTAATAAGACAAGATTAATAAATTCAATGACTACAGGCAATTACATTTGAGAAAGAAAATTTTATTAAATTAGATAGATATATACACGTATACGAACCGGTATATAGGTTTATCCAATGTTTAAAGAATTTTATGGCTCCTAATCCATTTAAGGTATTATGTTAACCATTCCAACATCTTAACGATACGGGCAATTTTGTATTAAACTTATATGAATTAAATTGTCGGCTTATATAACTTTATTCTTAAGAATGATTGTAGTGGGTCGAAGTTATATTAAATAGTAGATACATTTTGCTAAATTAAGGAAGTTTTGACAGAAGGAACTAGAGTATGGTCTAGTAGAGCAGTAGACTATAAACTATTCTGGCAATACTTAAAAACAGTTTAAAGTGCAAATGAAATATGGAGAAATTTCGATTGATGTTATATTAATTTCTCTGTTGGAAGTTCAACGAAATATGTAAAATATCGAGAGCAATTCTGTTGTAAGACTTATAAAACAAATTGCCAGTTATTTCATTATTATATTATTTCTACACCAATGGTATAATTTAGAAAATAATTGTTCAGACTTTATTAATTTAAATATATATTTAAATTTATAGAGAAAATTAATGGATTGTAAAAAATATCATACAAATTGAAGCTTTAAAGCTTTCTAGTTTTTCAAAAATAATTAATTATATAAATATTTTAAAAGCTTTTTCAAGAAACAAATTTTTTACTACATGCATCGTTTCAAAAACCATGAAGTTATATAGAATAAACAGGGCTTAATTATTTAAATCATTGTATTATAATGTGTTAATAATTTATTGGTACTAAATTTATAAATATTTCTATATATATATATATATATATATATATATATTATAATATAATATAATATAATATCTTATGCATATTTTTAAATATATAGAAAGGTATTCTACGTATGTTTTATCAGTTTTCACTGAAAAGTTTTGGCTGTCTTTCACGCAAACTTACGCGATGGTCGAAACATGAACCAAGGAAGTGAGGCTTCTCTGTTTGTTTATACTTTATGCTTACTAAGAATATTATCAAATAAAAAATTTTAAATTGGCAATTTTAGTTGATAATACTGATGAATACAAAGGCAATTGATAATATTAGGAAAAGAATAAATGAAACCCCAATAATGACAGTCGGTATTTACCATTCTACAATAATTGTAATTTTCAAAGTAAATAAGAATAAATTTTAAACATTAAAAACTCAAAAGATGAAGTCCATTATATGAAGATTTATGTACGATAAATAATGCAGCTAAATCATCACGTAGATATGTAGAAAGTTTGCATAGACACGACTTTAAGTACATTTATCCTATCCACATGAAATAATGAATTTTTCTCCTACTTATTGCTACCGAACATTTGCTACCGAAAAAAAATTAATCAAAACATAACAATTTACATATTTTTATTTCCAATAAAGTTCTTATAGTAAACTTCTTATTTTTCATATATCAATGAAACGAATAAGGATTTTTCTGTAATGACATATACTTTCTTTTGTCATATTATTATATAAATTACTTGGTATAAAAAAAAAAATGGTTTATAGAATACATTTATTCGTTTGTTAAATCAATGAAAATACTCTCTATTTATTAAAATATATTATCCATAATTTGTTGATTTAGTAATATTTATTAATATGAAGATTGAAAGATCATTATAAGTAAAAATTATCGGTAAGAAAATTATATATAACCATCTGCAATAAAAGTATAAAGTATTTCTTGTGTTACATATTAGTATTTTCAATTTCGATGTATAAAAGCATTTATTTTCTAAAAATTAATTCTAAAAATTTCTACAATATTTTTTTATTAAATGTTTCTTAAAAAAATATTTTTCACTTAAATTAAACTTCCGATATATTTGCTTTAATTATCAATATGTTTATTTCACATCCAATAATGTTATAAATAAAATTTATTTTTACTGTATGTTTAGAATTATAAGTATTTAAGTCATGATATTTAAAAATAGTTGTATGGAATATAAAACACATCTATTCTATGAAGTTATTTAATTATAGAAATTGTACATTTTTTATTATATGTAGAAAGTACCTTGAGTCGCTAATATAAAGTTGCATATGCTTTTTATTTTTAAATAATTTTAGTATTTTAGAAATATATAATTATAAATCTAAGGTAACAATTACTATAATAGTATCATTGTCTACTTATAACATAAAATCATCATAAGTGTAAAATATTATGGATGTTGGGTATATAATGTTTACGCCAATGAAACATCACTAAATCATTGATCTACAAATTATTCCAAAAAAGTAAATAAAATCATCTTTGAAAGCTTCGTTCGTAATAAAATAAGTAGAATAAGTAAGGTGAACTTAAATTTATCGATGCTGCTACAATATGAGCTGATCGAAATTTTCGGTTCATTACTAAAATCGAACAAAACTCGTGATTCTTTTGTTCTGTATTGATGTATTATCGCGTGAATCGTTCGAGTCTCGTTCCAGAACTTTTTCTCTCTCATTCAATTCGAGTGAGAATAATCGAGTATCTGCTTGATTTTTCCATACGCATTGACATAAATACAAAGGCATCGTGCATTTATGTTTTTCATGTTTTTTATTTGTATATGCTTTAAATGGAAAATATATTATGAGTTTTAACGATGACCCACTGGTTATACCTGTGAGTAATTAATTAACAATATTAATAAAATTATTGTGCAATGATTTTTCATTAGTAATTAAAAAAATAAATTATACGTATTCTCTATCGTATTAAATCTGAATGGGTTAAATGTTAATTAATGCTATATACCTGTGAGTAATTAATTAACAATATTAATAAAATTATTGTGCAATGATTTTTCATTAGTAATTAAAAAAATAAATTATACGTATTCTCTATCGTATTAAATCTGAATGGGTTAAATGTTAATTTATATGTTAATTTAAATGTTAAGTGATGAAGCATTGAATTTCAACAGCTTGATTCCTTCTCTCTCTCTCTCTCTCTCTCTCTCTCTCTATATATATATATATATATATATTTTTTTTTTTTGGACGCGTATGTATGTTTGTGTACGTGCATGCGTACGTAGTAAAGAATAAACAAAAGTACTCTATATACAATTTTAAAATTACTTTAAAAAACTTTTTATGCGAGGAATATGACGATTATATAAATTTGTAGTTTTATATGAAAAACTATTTTATTAACATTTAATAAGAATAATTTACCTTATAACATTTATAGTTAAAATTCTTTTAAGATATATATAATGAATGAATTAAAATTTTTTAAACATAAATTAAATCTCTAAATACCTTTGCATATTAAACGTACAATTTTATATAAAAAAAATTGAAATACTTAAATACATAGAATATTTTATTTAAAAAAAATTTTTTTTTAATTAATTTGTCATGCGTGAATAGAAATTAAAGGATAGCTGCGAGGCCTATTAGACTTTTTTTGAATAAATAAATGTGCATCTTTGTAAAACTCACACGCCCTTTTGTTTTTATATTGAATACTATATTATGGGCATTAGCATAAAATAAAAAATAAAACAATTATAAATAGTTTTTTTGTCATAAAAGTATTTATTCACGAACAAGATGAAAAAAAGATATCTTTTGCAAATGTAATTATTCAATATAAAAAAAAAATAGATATATTGATAATCTCATTTCCATGATTTTGTTATTAAAAATCTAAATGAAAAATATGATTTTATTTTGATATTAAATTCATTATAATATTGATATAAGATTTAATGAGTTGTAATAAAAGTAATAGATATTTATTTTATTTAGTTGTACTTTCGAATAATGCTAAGAGCAGAATATTTGATATAATTCGAATTTAAATAGAATATTAAATTATGTAATGTAATGTAAATGTAACGTTAATACACGAGATTACACATATAATATTATTATTTTTAGATTTGGACAGTATAATTCATATGATATTTTGTTAAGTGTATATTAATTGTATTAAAAAAGTTGTAAAAAATTGGATTTCCAATAAAAGTGGTTTGATATTCTAATGATAGTTAATGAAGTTTATAATTAGAATACGATAAAATGGATTTTGTGAAAGCAACTGATAATAAAATGTTGACGGATGAAACATAACGAGTGAAATATCTTTTCTCTTTTTTTTATCATAAAAATATTATAGATAAAAGTAAAACAATTAATGTAGTGAATCATTCTTGATATAAGCAAAATGTTTTCCTTACAGAACATACATAATCGAATTAGGCCGCCAGACACGATTAGAATAAGTCTATCGCCAAGGCTCAATGTCATATCCTACGTTACAGATATTTCTTATTAAAATAGATCCTTAACCGATATTCAAACAAAAATTAACATTTTTCAATGATTATATGATATTACAATTACTAATTTTTATCTTATTAGTTGCATAAATTTTTATACTACATTTATTGTACTAACATCTGTACTACACAGACTTTAATTGTATTTTATATACTTTATAGTTTATCATAATATATAAATAGAACATTATAATAATGTAAAACAAGGCCAAAATAAACAAAGGACAATATCTAGAGACTTTTTCTTCTTTCTTTTTTTTTAAAGAACAATAGCTATTAGTCAGCGAATAACATTTTACAAATTAATCTTCCCTAAATAATAAAATGCTATAACGAATTTTGCGAAATTCATCTATAATCTAAAATTTGTTCACAAAAGTTATTTATAGGGCGCCGTCATTTAAATATTAACAATAACAACTTAAACATTTATATTTAAAAAAAATTTTGTTCGATAATGATTAACTTTTTTACTGTTCCATGAAAAATGTATTTTGAGGTATGTTTGAAGAAAGAAAATTCCAAGAATCGTTTGTTTCCTCGAGGTGAATTAATTCAATCATAAAAATATACGCGCGCCCCCATACACGCATTGAGCATCGAGACTTTGTGATTATTATTATATGCCTCGGACGGTATCGATCTAATATTAAATAAACACATGTGGTTAAACGGTTGAAAGGTTGTAACTACTCTATGTTGAAATCAGTAAAATGACAACGCGACTCGTACCGCCTGTACATCCGAGGAAAGAAACAACTGCGTGGATCATGTGGCTGACGCTTTCCCACCCATTAATCAATAAATTTTTCATTAGACACTTTCCTCATTATTCACCCCAGTCGCACTACAACCATCGTGCCTCGCCACCCCAATTCCCGCACAAATTTATCGGAAGCTCCGCACGACAAGTTGCCGCGGATCTGCCTTAGACGATAAACCTGCTCGACGATAAACAGATATCGACCGATCATCGCATCCAAGGTCGTCATGGCTCACCGACCTTTGCTTTCTTTCAGAGGCCAGACTCGAACCGCACGAGGTGATAATAACGCCACCGTTGGAGGAGCTTCCACAGCCGCGCGTAGCCGAGGTCGCGTCCGAGGCCACGGCGCCGTTGGTCGCCACGACGGCGCCGTCCGGGAAGCTCAGACGCTACCGGGGTGACACGAGCAAGCGCCGCAAGGGCGTCTACATCACCCAGTGGCCGGAGCCGGTCTCCGATGCCGAGCTGCGCAGCAAACTATCTGGTCAGAGTAGCGAGGAGCGGGACGAGCCGCCGCCCTCCGCGACCCCGAGCGATCTCTCGGACTGCGAGGGACAGACGCCGAGAAGGTCAGTAGACGCGCCTCCGATCAAGGCGCCGTCGACCTCACGCCTCCATTCCTCGACGACTCGTTGGCGACTGCGCGCTCACGAATGAAGGAGTCGCTATGGCCCTTTTTGCTTCTCGTCGTACAATGACAACTGCCGATTACTCCATGACCACAGCCTCGTGGCCAGAGGGCATCTCAAGGCTTCGCGCTCTTTCGCGCTCTTTATCGTCCCGAGGGTTCAGGGTTGAGAAGCTCTCGAGTTTTGCCGGGGGTGGGCTTCTCGTCGCGGATGTTGTGGGAAGTCATGCGCGGACCAGTGGCTCTTGCATCTGTCACTCAGTTTAGCATTTTAGCAAGCGGTGCTTGTATTATAATTTCGTCCTTTTTCTCAAATTCCTTGAACGGTCTAAAGAAAAACTTGAACCGATGAACATCTTTAAAGATTCGTCATTTTAAAGCCAAGAATTGTTCTCATAATATTTGTAGATTCTATGGCTTATTTTATAGAATGATCGGTGACACGTGTCCTTGAATTTTTAACTTAAAGTCTTGATTAGTTAATATGCATTAAAAGTAATATTTCACGTTATTTGGACCTCGTTACTTTATATCGCATCGTGCAAAGTTTATAAGTCTTTTTTTTTCTTTTTTTTTTTTTTATATATATTGGTTTCCTCCGATTCAATAAAGCTCCAGCTCTTTTCAATCATTTGTTAATATTATCATCGCAATGATATCTCAACGTTCACAATAGTGTTACGTCATGAATAGTGTCCACAATACTTTACGATAACTAAACCTTCATAAATTTTCGTTGCCTTTCAAATACAACTCTATATTATTGGGATTGCGAATTCAAAATTAACGATTACATCGAGAAATTTCTTTTTTACATACTATTTTTTACTTTTACCCTACGAAGTACTTTTAGAAGCCGTGTTTGCAATTACTTGCGCTCATAACACATCCCTAAGCATAAATTTTATTGTCCTAATACTTTATATATATATATATATATATATAGATAATGAAAATATTATTTTATTTCGTCGTGTTCGATTTTACCAGTTGCTACGACTTTATCGAGAGAGCATCTAGACTATTACGACAAATTCATTCAATGCCGTCGCTTTCCCTCGTGAAGCACTCGATCAATGAATTATGACGAACGACGTAAAATATATCGGATTTAATATCTCGTGGACAAGCGAAAAAAGCGTAGTTACCGCGGCTCTCCACAACCCATTGAGTCTACGTATGTAGTATCGTGTGTCTAATGTAAGAACCATCGTGTACAATAACCACCGAATTTCGGGGCTAAAAATAAGCGTCTGGCGATAATAATGGGCGCCTTGGCCCAAGGCCCTACCGATGTTGCATCAGAGTCCGAGCGCACTCCCCTTGGAGACCTTGGACGTTGAAAGGTGGCAAGGTCGCGCTCGCTTAGAGGCTCGTCTCCCCGCTAGTTAAAGCCATGTCTGCCTCAGATACAGCAAGCGTCCGCTACGAGGTCCGTACGGCCAGATGCTCGAGGCGGAAATGGCGAAGCCCCGGCCGACGGACATCGGCGCCTTGGACGAGAGCCTGCACCAGCGGCGCAAGGTCTCGGCCAACCTCTCCTTTAATGCGAACAGCAGCGGGAGCGTCGAGGCGAGTCCGACGCCCTGCCACCATCGCACCACCTCGAGCCCGAGCAAGCTCGAGGGCCTTCCCGGGCCCAGCCCCGAACTCCTCGCCGAGCTCCTGCGGGGCTCCTCCGAGAGGGTCGCCCGCGTTCCCGCTCACCGAGACGTGAGTTCAATTTGATATTTCAATTCGAATTTGATGCTTGGCCGGCGGCCGATGGGCGGCCACGGTCTCCGTCGTTAAAAACAGTCCCTGTCACTGTCAGCGCACGTGGGTCACTCGAACGTCTACTGTGCTTCGTCTATGACTGTAGGCGATTTGGAAATGAACGACGCACTGATTTACCAAGCGGCCAACCTCCCGCTAGTCCAGAGATCTTCCACCTGATTACTCCTCGGTGGAATAACCTTAGTGCTCTTGCGAAGGCGTGATTTGCTTACATAATGGCGACTATGCGTGCCGAATGACTTGTTCAAAATGAAAATGGGATGTGTCGATGGGTAGCGAAAGTTGGATGTGCCCGATGGATAGCGATTATTTCCAAATCACTTACAGAGCGAATTATTAGAAACAGCGAGTGGTCGTACATGCATCGTTTCACGCAATATTTACATAATTTGTTGGCCAATTGGATAATTTATTTTGCATGAATTCAATAACTCTTGAAGAGTCTGACTCTTAAAGAGCTTGTTATTCTTTATGAATTTACCGTTTTGTCTTATCGCTTTGTATTTAAAATATTGTAAACGACGGAATTTGTGTTGTTTTTTTTTTAATTGACATAAATATCAGAGTTTCCATATTAGTTGGATAAAAATAAGGAATAAATTACGTTTTCTTTTCTCTTAATCTCCTAACCCGTATTATAAAGATATTTTTTCAATATAATGTCAAAGGACACGTATAGCCCTTGAATTGGATCATTTTAATCATCAATAATTTCATCGTACTGGCCTAATTATAGTAATTTAATTACAAACTACAATTTCGTATACATTGTATATAAGGAACAATCAATGTTGGAAGATATATGCGTGCATCCACCTTACACACCCACGCTGGCGGAGAGACAAATATTTTAACGATTGCATAGAAATTAAAATTTATTTGCAGACTTCTAATATCTTTTAGTTTAACACTTTTGTATCTATTTTATTAAGAGAAATTTTGATTTAAATATACCATTTCTCTGGGGCAAATTTAACGGTGTAAATCAAGCTGTAAAGATGGAAGTAGCAGCAAAAATACATATTCATTGGATAATAATTACAAGTTTAACGACGTAACTTTAATGATAAACATATAATGGAATTTTATACAATTACATTATTCACTAATAAAAATCCAGTAAAATTGGTATTTTACAAGTATCAGGAATTTTAATTGCATAAGCATTACATAAGTGTATGCTTCAAATTTTTAAAAATATTCATTTATTAAATGTGAATGTACTTCTTTTAATGGAGCATCCTGTACACATTGAGGGACAAAAATGTAAACAAATAACAATTGCAATTATTATTACAGTTCTAACTGTAATTAGCCTCGTTTGCTTTTAACGATATAAAATCTTACATTGCATACTAACATGTATTCGTACCTAACCTAAGGTTCCTCCTATTATCATCGTGAAAACATATTAAAAACATATCTCTATTACTGAAAAACAAAAACCTTACGGAGACCAGTATAAACCCCACAGACCTTTGGGATATCGATCGACAACAGAATCCGACGGCCTTTAATAGAGTTGTACCGTTGCCTCACTGCAGTCGTCGACTTGACTTTGATGCGTCGTGACGGTGAGTTAAAGTGCGCGAGCAGCAATGAGCTTCATAAAAGTTTTGTAGTTTTCCCCTAAACGTGTGTATTGTATAGGAGAATATTCAGCAAGTTAGGAGTCAGTTATATTCAGATTTAGGTGTTTAGCGAATCAAAAACATTTTCCGCAATTATCATTCGACAGTTGATATGCGTTGCAATTTTACATTAAAACTACAAGTATTCAATGCTTTATCGTTTACGAAATCCAATTACCGTTAAGTCGTGAATTTTCCTTCTTATCTTATATATTTCATTGATTTATTTCAATATTAATAATCACTGAGTAACGTTAGTTTTATTTTAAAATGGAAATTCAAGATTGTCACTATTTGGTTTATTGGCAGTTATTAAGGATGGAAAATTGACTTTTGCAGGAGTCTGCTTTTAAGAATTTTGTTACTTTAAAGCTACATAAATTTAATCGATATTAATATCAAATATTTTAATTAACACCGATAGTATAATTCAAATATTTGAATTGTTACGTTATACTTCATTTTCTCAAGCATAAGCAACAATAAATAACGTTACTATTTTAATCTTATATTAAAACTAACTAAAACTATTAAAATTAAAATACATAATCTAATAAAATATTTTTATCGATATATCATAATTTACATTTATTTATACTTATAAAATTAATTTTCTACCAACGTATGTGCACGCACACACGTGAATTAATACAAAATGATCATACTTATAAGAGGTATTTTGTATTAACTTTGTATCAATTGGCACAAACTTCGCTATCCTTATTAATAATTTATAATTTATTTTTTTTACGAAAATATTCATAAATCTAAATTTATGCATTTATGTGATATTTATATTCCAAAAATGTGTATGTTATTTGTTGCATCTAGATTGATTTAACTTTAAGACGAATCAAATTAATTTAAAGGTACCTCGATCCCCACATCCCCACATCGCATAAATTAATATATATATATTAATAATACAGATAGAGTAGATAGATGAGAAACACGTCTTCTTATAAACTTTATCAGAGTAAAAATATTTTTAAACAATGCTTGGCTGCATAACAATTTTGTAAGAGGATTTAATTAAATAAAGTATAACGCATTCTGAACTTACCAGCTCTCATCCTCGGCAATACAGTGGTACGATAATAAAAAAATTCATGTTCCAACGCGTTGCTTTCTGCCTTTTAACATAGGTTAAAACGCTATAGTGTTTACTGATTCGATGGGGGGGGGGGGGGGGAGTGTCGTGAATATTAGGCGTTTGAATGGTGGCACGAGATTGTTTTCAAACATAATCTAATAATATTCAACCACACTTTCCGTCGCGACTCACTCTTGGAGCTTAATGCTTGTCACTGAAGGTTCACTACTTATCCACCGATATCAATGCCCATACGGAACAACACTCCACGCTGTCCTAAAAATACTCTACTTTTACTTCAAGATTATCTAATTTACATGGTAATTTAGTCGTTCGTTCAGGTCGGAGTTGGATGGCGTGACATTCTTACATTGTGTTGTTCGATTAATATGAAAATTTAAAAAAAAAATATATATATATGTCTGCGTGTGTGTGTGTGTGTGTGCGCGCGCGCGCGCACGTATATCTTATACAAACGAAATTATGCTATTAAATATAGATGGTTAGATATTTTCTGAACATTTCATAAGAACCCAATATTTTGTTTGTTGAAAATTCAATTGATACAATGTAAACGATAATATAAAAGTATTAAATAATTAAATAGATTTCTCTATTTTGAAGTTTAATTTATTTTTTTTTTTTTACTTTACTTTACAAATTTAACACAATATGTATTTTAATGTAAAATGCTCTTGCCGTAAGATTTGGACAAAATTTCATTAGCTTAATTGTTCTCAAATTAATCAAATTAAAGCAATTTAAATTTAACGTACCTTTTCAATTATTAAAAAGTAAAGCTTATCTTTCTTTTTATTCATGGATTATTGTCGTGTAGCATGTGATTCTAGTCACAGTTAAAAAGAGAATTCTAGTTTATTGTTTTAAAAAATAATTAACATAGTGCTACGCTATTGTGGACATGGCAACGTCTAATTATTAATAGACTTCAAAAATACTCTATACAGAATATTACACTTTTGACCTACTAACGCTATTAAGTATGTCTAAATGAAATTTAATTTTTCTACGGAAGAGATAGGCTTTGGGCATATTGGTTTCAAGTGAAGCAATAGTTTTTTTATAAATAACATTGAATAACGTTGTTTAGCATGGATGTATGGCTTAATGTATATAATAATCAGCACATTGAAAAGCTAGGAAGGGAATATTCCGAGCGTAGAAAATAACTCGAGATTGGTGGATGATGCCTAGTTAAAATATTTCTCTTCTATAATCATGACGTTGCATGTTCAATACTGAATATTATAATTTTAAAAAAAAATACAAGCCATTAATTTAGTCAAAGAAAATTTTTAAATTGATATAAGAGCAACAACTGGGGTAATAAAAATGAATGGATGTAATCAAAATCCAATTTGGATGTTTTATATGCAATGTTTTATATAATTTGATTTCTTTAAATAAATAAATATATATATATATATATATATATATGGCCAAATGGCACATTTCAAAATTGCGTATCATAATTTTTATTTTATACAAAAATAACAATCCTTATATAAATAGAAAAATATCATAAATTTTTATTATAACTCGAAAGTTTTATGATGATTATTTTAGATTATGTGTATGTGATATATATATATTTATATATATACATGTATAGCTAAATGAAACGTGGTATTAGAAAAATTCATTAGAAAATGTTTGAATACTTCATTAGGCAGAAAAATAATTTTTCATTTATTTACGTGCCCATCCGATTAAAAATGGTGTACAATATTTTTAATTTTTATCGTGTTTTAGATGAGTTTTCAGAAACTTTGAGTTTAGTTTAAAAGCATTAAATAACAATGTGAGTGTTAATTTTCTCTATTCAAAACTATTTAATCATATTTAAACTGTGACCGAACTTTATTTATTTAATTAATTTTACGTTGACTCGGTGCTTAAATACACTCGCAATATTCACTGTAATTATTAGATTTGTCTATGATTCTCATAAAGAAAATTTTATTTCCATTAGTCGATAAATTAGCAATACCCACGTAATATCATACTGTGCAATAAATAATATATTTGCAATGACATATGAGCCTATAGTTTCTAAAAATATCTAATAATATCATAAAATTCAAGATTTTCTTTGTTAACGAACATGTTTGGATTGAGACAGAAATTTCTACAATAAATATTACCTTGTTTTCCTTGTCTATATAATTCGATCAGGATGTAAGTTAGGCAAT